GGTGCAAAGCTACGCAGAGAAACCCTGTCTCAAAAAACCAAAAAAAAAAAAAAAAAAAAAAAAGTGCGCACAGTCCAGCCTGTTATACTAGACGAGGGGAGGCATGGCGGGCTGACTGGAGGCGTGGTGGCCCCAGCTGGCCCCAGACTAGCCCCTTTCTCCATCCCTCCAGCCTCTCATCTTCACCCCCCATCTATGTCGTGGATCCTGATGGCACATCATGCTGCCAGGCGACGACGGACACCGGGAGAGCAGGCGTCTTGCGTCTTGAAGAGGTGGGAGTGTGACAGGAACCAGGTGGGAGGGCCCAGAAGAGCTTAAATGAGACGATGATTGTCAGGTGACGGGGGACACCTGTGTGTCCTTAAGTACTGCAGCTCCTCAGTAGCGTCACCTTGTCTCATCTTGGCTTCTTTATCCTTCACTCAAGGCTTCTCCTGAATTGATGGGGACTTCCCCTGCGACGACGGGCAAACCGCTCACCGCTCCACCCACTTGTGTTTTGTCCGGAGAATGACTGGCAGGAGTAATTGGGAGCCAATAGATGGCACGTTAAGCTTGTTACTGCAGCCGCGGAGGCTGATGAGACCCCTACTTCCGACCGGGGTTTAGCCAGGGCTGTGGATGTGATGGTGTCGCTGGGGAGATAGATGATGGTGGCGGTGGGAGAGTTGCGGGCTGGGAGGTGGGGGAGGACATCCGGAGGCACGGGAGAGTGGAAAGCGATGTGACATTTGAGGAGAGTGACATGGGGCTGCTTCTTGGGTGCAAAGGGTCTTTTTGGAGGGATGCAGCAGTTAGCAGACGGGAAGCAGCGAGACCGGGGTCTCTGGGCAAGCCTGCCTGAGCCCATACCACACTCTGGGCTGTGGACGTAGACGTGAGGGTCGTAGAGAACTATGGATGGCAGTTACTGTCCTTAGCTACACAACTCCAATTCCTTTGTTTAAAAAAAAAAAAAAAATGCTTCCTGCCAACCTGATCCAATGCGGAGGAACCCACCCCTCATGGACCCTAAGGACCCAGTGGTGGGTTGAGATGGGGCAGCAGGCCATCCATATCTCTCTCATCCTTGTCTCTAGTCTTCCCCTCCCCTCCCCTGTTCCCCATCTCCCCTTCCTTCCCTCGAGTCAGAGGCTGAAGCTCTCACTAGGCAGTCAAGTCTGGCCTTGGATATCCCTAGTCTTCCTGTTTCTCCTTCCAAGAGCTGGAATAAGAGGCATGTGTTACCGTACTTGGCCGTGCCCTTTTCATGCCCGATGAGACGTGAGGGCCTTTCTGACCCATCACTTGATGGCTTCGGCGTGTTCTGGGGTCTGGTTCCCCTGACTCCGTCCTAGCTGGTTAGGCTCTTACTTCCATCCTTGTCCCCATTTGCTGTTTTATATGCCGGCCCTCCCAAGGGTTTCCGGCAGCTGCCCCGACTTTCCGGCTCCTTCCTACAACAGTCAGTAACAATTCCCCTCTGCGCGGGGCCTCCCGTTGGGGCCTTCTGGGTAGGAACGGGCCTATTGGCTCCCCAAGACTCAGGTGGCTATCTGGGGAGACCGCTGCGTTTTCTTTTCTCCTGTGAATGAACACTCTGGTTTTTCCTGTCTCCTCTGGGAACCTCACGTTCTCTCCTGTCGCACACTCGGTCGTTTCCCCCACTTCCAGAATGGTCTCTGTTTGCTCTCCACTCACTGGATAGCCAGAGTATGTGCTCTGACCTCCGGGGGTCCCATATACCCTGCTCAGGCACCCACTTTCCTGCGAAGAACCCCGGTACCTCCCACCCACGCCCTGTGTTGTCTTGGCAAACCCGGAGACTCATTCTAGGTGGAGTGGAGGTCATTAAGAGTGGAGGGTTGAGCCGGGCGGTGGTGGCGCACGCCTTTAATCCCAGCACTCGGGAGGCAGAGGCAGGCGGATCTCTGAGTTCGAGGCCAGCCTGGGCTACAGAGTGAGTTCCAGGAAAGGCGCAAAGCTACACAGAGAAACCCTGTCTTGAAAAACCAAAAAAAAAAAAAAAAAAAAAGAGTGGAGGGTTTTGTGTGTGTGTGTGTGTGTGTACGTGTATGTACTAGACTCTCTCTCATTATTTCCGACTCCTATACAATCCTTGCTGTTGAGACATGCAGCCCTTCCCCTTCCTCCACCCTTGCAGCAGACCCCACCCCTGCAGGGACTGGGTGCAGCAGGCCTACCTACCTGCGCCCGTGCTGCTGGGTCCTTCTTGATCCACCTGATGACAGTTTCATAGACCAGCTCCTCGGCCTTGGTGTTGAGACTGTCATTGGAGACGTAGGCGATAAAGTCATCCTTCGAGATGCTGAGGATCTCCTCCTGGGCCGCCACCTCGGGGAAGATCTGCAGCGCGAAGGCCTTGGCCATGTGGTAGAGCTCGCTGCACTGCATGGCCTCAGCCATGGCCAGCACACCCAGGCAGTTGCTGGCGGTCAGCTGCTTCTCTAGGTGGGAGGGGGGCAGGAGAGTGAATGGTCACTGATCCAGGATCACCTGAAAGGATCACCTCTTGTTTCCATCATCATCATCCCTGGACCTTCCTCTGAACCCCATCCGTTTCCTGGTGACCTGCCTCCCGTGACTCTGAGCCTCAGATCCGTTCCCCAGGTTTCCCTCTGCCCTGACTCCCGTGGGCCTCCCAGGGCCTAGTTCTACCCCTGCAGACCATAGCAGAAGACCACTGCTGTGAGGCATGGCATGAGCTGCCTCCCTGACCGTGGGGGTGGGGGGAGCTGGGGCCTCAGGATTTGGGCCTGGGCTGTGGGTAGCGGCCACTTTGAAACTTAAGGTGTCTTCTATCATGACAGGCATGCCTGAGGTCACAGACACCTTTTTTAAAAACCTTGTAACACAGCAGCCCTCACATGTCAATCCACTGTCTCCCATGGCCCTTAGATTCCCTTAGTCTACCATCTAGAACCTGGGGTCTGGTAGCTGGCTCTTCTGAAATCTGGCTAATGGCTCTTTCGGGCTAGAACTGGGTGTGTGCCCCATCCTGCCGTTACAGCGCCTGACCCTCCTGGATTAATTAGCTCCTTCCGAAGTCCTCACTGAGCTTCCAAACTCTAGCTTTCCTTTCTGCATACCACACCCAGGCTCTGTATTTATTTGTGTGTGTGTGTGTGTGTGTGTGTGTGTGTGTGTGTGTGTGTGTGTGTGTGTTATATGTTATGGTGTGTGTGAGGCTGTCCTTGACATCCCCCTTGCTCCACAACTCCCAGCAGAGCTGAGCAGCCCCAAACTGTAAAGCAAGCTCTAGGCAGGAAGTCGGGAAGGTGAGCCCATCATCAATAGCCACGTCTTGCAGAAAACCAGCTCTGGGATTCCAAGGGTTAGATCAGATGCGCTGGCTTGTCCATGCATCTGTGTGGCCCGGGAACCGATATGTTGAAGGGGAACAGATGGCATGGTTGATTCATTCAAGGCTTAGAGGGCAGGGCACAGTGGTCAGGTTTCCTGCCTGCACAGGCTGTTTACGTATCCTAATGGCCACTGGTTCTGGCAAGGCCACAGTGACCCACCCCTTCAGTACATGCCATTCCATCAAGCCAACCATATGCTCGGGTGAAATCTAGATATCCCAGCATACTCTGGGGACACACAAGTCCTCCCCACTCAGTTCTTGCTGGCTGGGGACTGTTCACGCATCTGCACCACGTTCTCCACGTGATGTAAAGGCCCCCCTGGTCAGCTCACCGAGAAAGGACACGCAGACTTTGCAGAAGGTATGGAACTGGAACTTGCTGGCCGCCTCGAGCAGGGTCTTGGCGTTGGCGGAGTCGATGACCAGCGAGCCGGTGTAGACAAATTCCAGCAGTAACTCGAGGACGTCAGCCTGCAGGTTCGAGAGCACCAGTTCCAGCTTCTCCCGGCTGCCCTGGCTGCCGTCCTGCACCGACCTAAGGCACAGAGACCAGGGGTGTCCTCACCTGCCACCCCTGCGGCCGCGGCCGCTTCCTCACAGGGCCAGAGCTCCCTGTACACCTCAAGTCACGCCCTTCGTCTTAGGACTCCAAGGACACAGCAATGACACACCTGAACCTAATGGCCTGACACAGGATCTGGAAGAGAAGGTCTGACCAGAGGCGCCCCAGAGAACAGAAAACCCTGCTTATCACTACTCGGCATGTCCATGCAAAAAAAAAGATGCAAATCAAAAAGCATGAGCCGTGGATGGGGACAAGGACCAGGACTAGCCGCAAAGGGAAACAATACGGTTCAGCTACCTGCTGGACCTGGTGTCTACACCAAAGGGTACCAGCATGTCCTGGCAAGCAGGACCTCCTGCCTCAAGCGGCAGAATCTCTCTTCCCGGCTGAGGCTCACAGGCTCCTGATTGGCTGCCATCCTAGCCAATCAGGAGGCGTCCTTTTGAGCCCATCTCAAAGACCCAGGGCCTTGGAAGGCTGCCCCGGAAGTCCCCCCCAACCCCCGAACCCCAACCTCTCCCAAAACAAAACATATTGTTTCCTTTTAGGCATGGAAGGGAAGCCCTTCATGACATTGCTTTGAAACTGAAGACAAGACACGATAGACGGACAGAATGGTTAGAGCTGGGAAGGGGGAGAGGGTAACAACCAAGGACTTCCGCCACAGACAGCCAGCAGCCATGACCTGGGGCCTGGCCCGGGGCGGGGGGGTGCCCTCCTGCCACATGGAACACGGGGTCAGAGGTCAGAGTGGCCTGCGTGTAGAGTGTGCATCTGCATCGGGCTTGTGAACTGGGGGTGGGGGGGAGCAGGGGAGGGACACAAATATATCAGTATGTTTTTAATCTGGTGTCTACAGAAATACGAAACCATTGCAAAGGCTCTTAAGGCCTGGCAGCCGCTCCCTACAGCTGGACCTGGAAGGAAACAGATAAGATGAGGCAGAACACACCGATACAGGAGGCCAGGAGAAAAAAAAAATAATAAAAAAAAAACACCCAGAGCGTTAAGTCAGGAGGCAGGTTTCTCAGAGGCCATTGACCTGACCACCCTAGTCGGGCTACTCTCACCAGCTTCCCTCACTGAGCCTGGCCTGACCAAGGCTGTGGCAGGGCAGTGAGCTCCATTGCCTACCCACTGACTTCTGCAAACACCCGGGGAGGCCAAGCCTCTTGAGACTGGTCCCTTGGGTGCCCCCCGGGGCAGGCAGGAGAGGTGTACCAGTGCCTGGTAGGGCAGTAGGTTGGCCAAAGAGGCTGCTGGGTGAGTGGACAGAGCACTAGTAGGGAGCAAAGGGACCTGGGTACCCTGCATGGCCACTGACAGGCAGATGTCCTGAGCCTCTCCGGCACATGCTCACTCAGTGCTAAAGTGACTTCCCACACCTGTGTTTTGCTGCTGCTGAGCTGGAGTCCCAGGCTTGGATGCCTTTGTAAGGTGTAAACATTTGTTAGCTCTCAAGTGCCCCCTAGAGGCTCCATAAATTCCGATTATTCCCAGGTCTCAGAGGCTATCTGGTCAACTTTCTTGCTCCAAGTCTTTGCCGCCCCTGTGTTCATCCTAACGGCCTAGCCTCTCCTTGGTACTTTCTCCTTAGGCTCTGTAGAAGTCATGCTGGGCCTCAGTGTGGTAGGGCTGACGGAGTCCACATGGGCTGCTCGCCTTTTCCCAAGATCCCTTTTACTCCTGCCGCCAACAATGGCCCTCTCTGTGTGTCCGAGTCCTCAGACGGAGGCGCTCAACCCAGCGAGGAGCTGAGGTAGGTCTTGAGGGTGTAGACAGACACACACGACCCTGGCTGAGCTTGTGCTGGAATTATAGCTATAAAGGGCTAGTCTTGCCACACTGCTGGTGACTGACGACCTGTGGCTTCTCAAAGCTGAGCCTGGGAGGGTGTTTGGGGGGATAGAGCTGCCTACGCTGCGAAGTATGCCAGGAAGGAGGGGTAAGCACTGGAGAGCGTTGGTAGTGACGTTAAATCGAGGGGAGCTGCATGGCTGTGGCTGTCTCTGTTGGGAAAATGATCTGCAAGAGGGGGGTGCTGGAGGCTCTTGGGACTGGAAAAGCTAGTCCCTTCTACTTGGCTACACGGGTCTTTCTTAGTAGCCTAGTTCAAAGGTCTAGAGGAGTCTGGATAAACCCCCCTTGGCACACAGGTGGTATTACACTGCATGGTTCATGTGTAGTTCAGAGAATTGCAAGGGCCACAAAAGGCTGGTAATGAGTCTTTCCAAACACCAGCAGGTGTCTACCTAGCACTCCTTAGGTCTCTTCGCTCTGAGCAGAGGTCCCCTAGGGATGGGTAACTCCGATCATGGCTATGACGCTGCATCTGTCACAGGTGAGATGAATGTTCTGTCCACTGTCCTAAGCTGGCTGTTGAGTGGGCAGCTGCTCCCCGAGGGTCATGACACAATGGTACAGGGATATACAGAACCACAGAAACAGACTATAGTAACACTGTGATTCTCAATCTTGGGGGCCTGGCAGAAATGTGGTGCCCCAGCACACACTGTCTGAGGGTTCCAGCAGGAGGCTAGTACTGCATGAAGTTACTTTCTTCCAAGCAGGGCTGCCCAGGAGAGTTCTGGTTCCTAGATACCGTTGCTGCTCAGCAAGGCTGGACTATGGATGTGTCAGAGATGCCTATCTTCGACTAGTCGGATCTTGGAGAACACACTTTGAGCAGAGAACTCCTCTGGGATAAGCCACCCCACTCCCTCATCTGCCTCTGTGGCCAGGTGTTTGCACAATGCCCATTGGAACTGGGCACTGTCTGGACGTGTAGGGCAATGGTGAATGGAAGGTCTAGGCTGGTGATGGACACAGTTGGTACTCTGCTCCATCCTTCTGACGGGATTCCTCCCCTGCCCCCCATGTCATTAGCTTCAGAGCACTGGGTTTGTGTAGACCCAGGCCTCACTGGGTCCTGTGGACTTTGGCAGGCCTTGGACCACTCTTTGAGAGGAGGCGAGGCAATGATGGATCTGGTCTCCATCATTCTGCTGACCCTCTAAGAGGCGTCAATCCCTCTTCTCTTTGCCTTGTTTTCAAGGCACACCTGTGTGTTCTAGATGAGGAAGGGGACAGGCACCTGGGGAGAGAGGTGCGGGGTGTGGCCCTGCACTGGTACATGAAAAGCTCCATGTCAGTTGGTGAGGTGGGCCATTGCGTCAGTATCCGCTCTAGCCTCCCACATCACGGCTGAAGAAGGAAGGAGAAGCCCAGAACTTAGCATTAAGCTTTGTGAAAATCAGGTTAGGAAAAAAAAATCAGTGAATTGTTTTCATCCAAATGTGAAAGAGAATAGAATTCACATGTCCTACATGGTCCAATAGGCTCTGTTGTGAGGCAAGGCCCTCAGCTATCATGCTCCGGTCTCTGTCCTCTTTGGTATGAGGAGGAACAGGTTTTCTCAGGCGCTGGGCATTTTTTCTCCCCACACCTCGACTTAGAGACATGCTGGGAAGTGCCAGGGATGGCAGGAGACATCACTGCCATCTTTTAAGAAAGAAGGTCACATCCTCTCTGATGGGGGCTCTAGCCTAGGCATTAAGTGGAGGTGACTGGCCTTGATTAATATTTCTACAGCACCTGTGCATCCTGAGACATTCTCTGTGCCCAGAGGGTAAATGAAGGGACTTTGCCATGGGCCAAAGAAGAAAAGCCAGGGCAGATGATGCAGGCAAGGGGTGAGTCCGACCCTAAGGGCCACTGCTGGATTCCCTCCAAGTATGTGAGCAGATAAGGGAAGGAGGAATACCCCAATAATCGTCCAAAGGTTGTACCTCAGTATTTTTATCTCTGTTATTTTCTTAAAGTCAGTGTCTCAACCCTTTGTCCCCCCACCCCACCCCCCCTGCCTCATTGTCCAAAGGTAGGGTCCCAGCCCCTGCCTCTCAGTTTCCTTGCTGATCACCCTATGGACTCAGGTTGGCCAACCAAAGGTCGGGCTGAGCAGGCCTGTGAATTTTGTTTTGCCCTTGGCTCGTTGCTGGCCTCCCATTCAAGGGCTCCTTGGCCTCCAGGCCTCATCTGAAGGGTCCAGTCCCCTTGCAGGTCTGCACACAAGTGCCTTGTCTTAAAGTGGAATTCTGTCCTCCTTGGCAGGCTTTGTGGCCAGGGTCCCTAACATCACATGTACACTGCATGTACCCCCTATTTGAACACGGCGTCAGCCCTGAGACTTCCCCTTTCTCCCTCACAGATTCTGCCCAAACAGAAAGCACAGTTTGGTTTTCTAGGTTAGAGAATGGATGGCCAGAGGGGCTTCTGTGTCAGACAATATCTGTGTGTCAGCTAAATGCCTGAGGCTTCAGGATCCTCCTCTGTGAAATGGGGATTCTAACCGTACGAGCTCTTCAAGCTAACATATCTAGAATACTTCTTGTCACCAGATGGCAATCTTGTCAAAAGAGGGAGTGGTGAAGGATGGCTTAAAGACGCTAGCTCATCAATGGAAGCCTGTGAGGAAAGAGCCTGGGTAAGGTAGGGCCCCTGGGACTGCCAGGCAGCTGAGGTCCTGGAAAAGACTTGACTGCTCTCTGGGAGGTCACACTGGGCAGACCCAGCTTTTCTGCCCACTCTCACATTGATACCGTGTGTGTGTGTGTGTGTGTGTGTGTGTGTGTGTGTGTCTGTCTGTCCAGGCTTAATGCAAAGCTTATGATGTGGTTCCTCTTAGTCTGTTTCATGCTTCCCTTTTCTGATTCATGTACTATCTGTTGCTGAGGACTTTGGACAAGCTTTGGCCAACGCTGAGGACTTTGGGTAGAACGGCTTTGGCCCAGGAGAGACCCTGCCTGTTTGCAGAGAGGAATGAGATTTCCTCTATGTCCCCTCCCATGGCTCCAGGAAAGGCGGTCACACTGAGAAGGGGGATGGAGCCGTGGACACATGACCTAGGTTGGTGGTGGAAAGGAGCCCCTGCTTGAATTTCCAAGTCCGAGGTGTCCAGCCAGGGGGCAGGGGTGGGTGTCCCCCTGCTCTGACAGAGCTCAGCCGGGGCAGATCAGTATTGACCCATAAAAGCTCAGAGACACAGATCGCCCCTACTTCCTCACCTCTGAAGACACCAGCCCCTCACCCTCGGAAGTTTACCCTGGCTGTTCCAACCACCGTATGCTAAGGCTTCAGGGTCACCGACGTGAAGGGAACTAAAACATGGTGACATGAGCGGCTCTCTGACCATGAAGAATTTGGGGGCCATGTGGCTCACAAAGATAACATCTTCACGGGAGGATCTTGCTTCCCTCCTTCCAAAGCATTTTGTTGGCAGCCACCAGCAGGAATGGCAACATGGACCCTGTGTGGCCAGGACGGAGAAAGGAGATTCAACATGGCTGCGGACAAGCACAGCTCCACCTTCTCTTTTGCTTCCTGAAGTTACTTCATGCCTGACTACCTCCCGCTAAGGGACTTGGGTGCCCTTTAGGCTCGAAAAGCATGGCGTGCCCTGTGCTCTCCTGGCCATCTTCCCCCAGCTCCCCTCTGACACTAGACTGTTGACCCGCGCTCTTCCTTTAGGACCCTGGCACCTCCTCCTCTCCTGTTCTGGCATTCAGACCTGTAAAGAAGCCTCACCAGGCTGGTCCTGTCCATCCACTGACTGTCACCTTCAGCATCATTTGTGACCAACTTCTGGTTTACAGGTGGTAAAAGCCTGAGGCCCGAGAGCCAGGGTGTGGCCAGACCCGAGTCACAGGATGAGTGTCAGAGTCAAGTGTAGGACCCAGGTCTCCTGACTCCCTCTGTCTCCCAGCAACTGCTTGGATGGAATGCCCATCCTTTCCCATCAGGGCTGCTGATGTCATTGGGTACCTCCTCCTCCTCACAGCAAGCCTGGGAGGTCAGTGGGAAGGCAGGGCCTGCTCACATCTGCCTCTGGGGAGGCCACCCGTTCCTGTCCTTGGTTCGTATCTGTTTTTGCCCCTGCCCTCCTTGTCTGGAAGGGCCTTCCTCCTCCTCCTCGTCTGTCCAAGAAGGTTCCTACCTATTGGAGTATTCTTCCCTGTTGTGAGGGGGAGTTTGGCTTTTAATGTCTCTTCAAAGGCACTTAAAGGCTTCCTTTCCCCACATGGTTCTAGTCCAGGGATGGACCACTGCTCTGCTTTTACTTCATTGTTCTGTAGCCCATTTGGGTCAGGGCCCAAGGTTCCCAGATTATTTAGCTAGGTTCCTGCAGCCAGGTGCTAGCCACTGTTCCCAAAGTGCCTCTGGACTGGAGAGGTCACTGGACACCTCTTCCCCGAGACGTGTCTCTCTAATCCCTCAGATACACAGAAACCTACGCACGGGGCGGGCAGGAGACGGAGTTGTCCAGGAAATGGGAATGTCACAAGGAGCCCTGCCCCTCCTGTGTGGCAACAGGGGCCAGTGAGGCTGAGTGGGACCTCACACACCCGGCGGCCTGGCCCTACGCCAAAGGATACAAGGGACAAGGAAAGAGATGCCATCCTGAAACAAAACACAGTCGCTCTGGGGTTAGTTGGCAAGTCCAAACACAGCATTGGAAAGCAAGCAGAGGTCCTGTCCTCCCACTCTGAGCTCTGTCCAGGCTCAGCGTCCGCCCCGGAGAGGCTGCAAGGCAAAATGAGCAGCGGCATTAATCTGCTGATGGGTGAGAGAAACGTGAGCGTTACCCTGGGCTGGCCCCTCGGCTGCTCTCCCTCACTAAGGAGCTAGGAGGTGGCCCTGACATCTTTGCAAGGGTATGAAACGGAAAAAAAAAAAACAAAAAACAAAAAACAAAAAAAAAATCATTTATTTTTTTTTTTTTTAAATCAACAAAATGGAAAAAACAAAGATATTCAGGCACTGTTCACATCGATCCAGGTAGAAATGAAAAATGGCCCGATAGGGCCAGGGTAGGCCGAGGGAAGGTGAAGGCTGAGAGACCGTGTTTAGGACACACCTGGTCTGCACTTAGGGCCCAGGGTTCAAGCATGAGGGCTTGGCCTGCACACTCTTCTCCCTGACTCAGGCTGGGCAAGAGCCGTTCCTGGGGTGCCTGGTGTCCCCTCTGTGGGGATGGCCTGTTCAATCATAGGCTTTCCTGGTACTGGGTCCACCCCATCCACAGTGGTGGTGATGGATCTGGGGACCCTGAGGGATGGAGCAGTGTGAGATGGTCCCTTCAAGTGGAGTCTAGAGTTCTCTTAGTCTCAGGAAGGGCTTGTGCTCTGCTAAGGACATGGGGTTTGGGGGGAGGTGTGTGGCCTACTGCGGGCTAGCTCCTGGTGGCCGGTGAGGCAGTGTGTGGGGGCAAGGGCGGCGGCTGCTCTGTGTGTGCGTGTGTGTGTGTGCGTGTGTGTGTGTGTGTGTGTGTGTGTGTGTGTGTGTGGGTGTGGGTGCGGGCACTGGGGAGGGGGAGGAGAGATGGCTACTGGCTCTGTGACAGGGGAGTCACGCTTCAGGAACCTGTAAGAGAGGGGAGAGGAGAAAAGCCACACAAAAGCGTCCTACGAAGGAACAGACCCGAGCTGGAAGGAAGGCAAACCTTTGAATCAGGTCCTTGAAATACAAGCTGCAGGAAGCTAGAACATTTTGGTGGACTTCAAACTCTCTGCCTTCAACAACAATTTTCAGGTCTGTAAACGCTTTCGCTCGGCGCTGCTGGTTCAGCTCCTTCAACATTTCTGCAGAGTAGAGAAGACAGACAGGGCCAGGTTCCCATTAAGAGGTTTTTGTTTTTTTTTTAATTTTTATTTATTTATTTTATTTTTAATTAAATTTTTTTTCAAGAAGTAGAGAAATAGAAATAACTTGATATTGTTTCTTGGTAAGGCTGGCTGAACACTGACAGGCAAGAGAGATCACAAACAATGCGTAAACAAGCGGCCACTGAGAGAGGGGCTACGTAACCAAGGGACTAACAACTTAAAAAAGCAAAACAAAACAAAACAAAAAAACCCGAATATGATTAAAAAAAAAAAAACCAAACCCAGATATTGAAAGATCAGGGAGCAGAGCGGGGAAAGATTCCCATACTGACGATTGCAAACAGAAAATACCACAAACAGCTTAGAAAGAAAAAAAAAACCACAATCTATCCTAAAACCATGGAATAAGGTCTCCAAATGCCAGTGGTGCCGACGTATCGAGTAAAGCGTGGCATTGTGATGGAAGATGGGCCGGACGTGGTCCAGAGGGACAAAAGCCCACCGACCCTGCAAAGACAGCATCCCCTCTGTTAGACACGCAAGCCACGGCGTGGAACCATGTTTCCTGGGAAGGGAAGCCGGAGAACAGAAGGGCCCACCGAGGGCTTGGCAAGTGCCTCCTTCCATCTCACACTTTCGGGGGGCTTCTGGGGTCAAGCAAGCAAGCGTGGGGTGGGTGGGGTAGGGTGGGGTGCAGGTAGGGTTGGGTGGGAGTGGTTCTCTGCATCCGCCCCATTTTCTAGGCTAGCCTTCCAGGACGCCCAGCCTTGCCTGTGCCTTTGACAACAGGGAAGCTGCTTTGCAGCCTCCATAGGTCTTAGGGGGAGGGGCTTGGGGGTGATTTCCTGCCCCCCAAGTGTATACCTACCTTTGCCTGGAGTCTTGGCCACCTGGGCTGGCACAGACAGAATCCAGGCCTGTGGGCTCCAGACCTAGGGATGTCAACATCTTCTCCCAGACCCACCCCAACAGCTAGAAGGAAGGAGGAGAGAAGAGCCCGCCAGCCAGCCCATTTAACTAAGGTGTATTTTTTTCCCCCAGGCAGATGTTAGGGCCTCTGGATAACCGTCATTTCTCACTAGCCCCACCCCATCTGGCTGCAGCCAGGGCCCCTCATGCTTTGCCATATATTGTGGCTGGACGTCAGAAGCCTAGACCCTTGTGCCAGGGTGACTTAGGCTGTCATCTGACAGGTAATGACAGGAAAGTCCCCTTACTGTCTATCACTCGAAGCCCTTCACGTCTGTGTTCAGCGAAGCTGACTTTCTAGAACTACCCTCTGGTGTTCCCTCCTTCACGCCTGAACACAGGGTCAGTACCAGCTGAATGCTGCGATACCCCTAACTCCTATTTCCTATTCTGGGTTTCTCACAGGGTAGTTAGGTGTCCCTGGGTGAGTTACCCCAGACTGTGGCAGGTCTTCTCTCTTTCTGAGCCTCTCTTTCTTTCCACAGAGACCAGTGGGGTCACATGACCTATAGTCCAGCTCAGGGAGGAGAATAGGATTAGCGGGCCTTGGGTGTCCGGCAGGTCTTCCCTCACAAGGATACACCGGGCTTGGGCTCTGCTGAGGACTGAGGTCTTAGGACTGTCCCCTGAGCCACAGGACAGGCTAAGCCCTAGACCCCTAACTAGGCGGTAGGCTGACTTGCAACTATGGGAGCGTGCTCACAGGTGTGCATGTGGAAGTCTGGCTGGGCCCTCCACCTTCAGCGGGACAGAGAGACAAGGCTGGAGGGTGTGGGCATGGGTGAGCCGGAGAGTGACAGGGATGCCTCAGTTGGCAGGTGAGGACCGCGCCAAGGAGCCTTGAGCTTAATTCTGTAGCACGCATGCGCGGGTGCTGCCGGGGATGGCGTGCAGGGAAGTGGAGAGGTTAGCTGCCGCCCCCAGTGATCTGACAGCCAGTCAGGATGAGAGTGATTTAGGAAACCCAATGGGAGGCACGAAGATAACCTATATCCAGAGACCTTGAGTTTGGAGACAGAACTGATGGGGAACCTGAACACTGCCTTCTGGGAGACACGCAGCCTTGAGAAGGTAAACTAATGGATTCCCAACAGCCCTGCTTGTTGAAAGCTAATGATGTAGTCTCTGGTCAGCACCTACTGTGCCCAGTGTCACTGAGGTAGATTCAAACCACCGTCGATGGGGGAGTCCTCCCATGATCTCACAGCAAGATGAGGAGGCCTAATGGACACTGGAGGGTGGAGAAAGCGTTCAGGCCTCGGCTGCTATGGGATGGGGGGGCGGGGGGAGGGGCGAAGGGAAGGGACCGGAGGAAGAGTTCGGTTTGGGGTAAGCCTGTCGAGAAAGAGGTGGTAAGGCACAGGTGGTCGTGAGAGGCCCGGGCGGGAGAGGCGCCTATGGGGCTCAGGGAGGAGGACCTGTGGGGCCCGGCAGGGAACCTGTAACTTGTGATGCTGGGATTCTTACATTCTTACAGGGTCTGCAGCTGAGTGAGTCTGGTGGATGATGTCATTTAGGAGTGAAGAGATGGCTGGAGGTAAAGGTAGGGGACAATTTCAGGGGAGGATCCCAAACTCTTAGAACTTTAAAATATTTTTTTTTTTCAAAATTTAAGAGAGAGAGAGAGAGAGAGAGAGAGAGAGAGAGAGAGAGAGAGAGAGAGAGTGTGTCCATCCCTGTGTCTCCCCACATGAGTGTAGGTACCTGCAGAGACCAGAAGAGGGCATCAGATCCCCAGTAGCTGGAGTTACAGGCAGTTGTGAACCACCTATTATGGTGCTGCCAACTGAACTCTGGTCCTCTGGAGGAGCAATATGCATTCTCAACTGCCTAACCATCTCTCTCTAGCTCCTGAGTCCTCATTCTTATTCTGGATTTGTCATGGGGTAGTTAGATGGCCCTGGGTGAGTTACCTCTACCTGGGCGGGGGGG